AAACCCTAAACCCTAAACTATGAAAGGAGCCCGGAAAGGAACCCTCTTCCTCTATCATGGTCCAGAACCCTATAATATACCATAATGTACTATAATATACTACAAATATGCTATACCGTTTATATTATGCTATGATACACTATATGGTACTAAAACACGCGAGTATGCGATAATGTACGATACTGCACAGTACTACAAAGTACCTCAATATTCCACAATCTATTGTAACATCTAATTATCGTCGGATGTCGGGGTTCTCAGAGCTTAGTGGCTGGGAAGCCAGAGCCCCACCCATGCAGGGCGTCGTGGATGTCGGCTATGCCAACCCAGACAAGCCCATCAAGAGAGCAGCAGATCTTACGGCCTTGCCGGCTCGTTAACCAACCCTAAACCCTAAACCCTTTTCCGTGCCGTTGTTGAGTTTCGGGGGCTCGAGGTCTGGTGGGGGAGACTGCGCAAGCTATTTTTGCGTCCTTGCTTTCTGCTTCCTCTTGTGATCCGTGCGGAGCTCATTGATCTGGCTTCTGGCTAAGCCAAATGCCCGAACCGGCGAAATCCAGAGCCTTAGCAAACCCTAAACCCTAAACCCTAAACCCAGAGCCCAGAGCCTAAGCAAGCACAAAATCCTCGGCCGTCTCGCCAGAACGAGAGTACCGACATGCGCTGGTATCAGGGAGGCCTGGGGCTCAGTCAAGCCATACTTCTTGCGTCACAAAGAACATAGAGAAGAGAGGCGTCCTATGGTTGAGATGATCCGGCCCGATCCAGTGATTACTTTTCTGAGGGTGCTTTGTCCAGACTATCGGATCCCAGAGCCCTGCTTATTCAGGCCCCCATATGGGTAGTTCTCTAAATCAGGGTCCGTTTAAGGCTCCTTTGTATCCTGAAAAGGGACCCTGATTTAAAGAACCTACCCATAGGAGGTCAACAGATGGAGGACATGTAGGCCTCAAAGCGAGGGCACAGTGTGGGAAGAGAACCAGTTGGACAACAACTCGGAGACTCTCATTCCTCTGGCGTCTTATGGGCCCCAAAGTCTTCTGACCAGGTTGTGAGTGTGGGAGCGACATGGTGGCTACGCAATTCGCTTTCAGGGTTGTCGGGAGTTTGCAGTACGTGTGTTCAGGCCATTGATGCATAGCTCTGGCTGCCGGCACCTAGCGGAATACAATAATACAATCACTATACTAAAAGCTATTTTGCAGTATGAGCAGTACAATACAGATAGAATACAGTTTTAATGTAACCATGTGTAATGCTTTGAAACCGGAAGGCGCTGGCTGCAGCTTCAAGTGAGCTTCACGACACGCCAGACCCTGACGCGAACCATCAACTACCTTTCACTGGACTGCGCTTTAAACCATAAAGTGTCCGTAAATACACTCAACATCAGCGATCGGAATTCGGAACAGCAAGACTGATGAATGCTTCAGCCTGTCACACAGCATGCTTGTGCCAAGTTGCCGAAGCCATGCCGTGCCCACTCTTGCCCGCGACATGCAGTCGAACTACCCGCTGGCACGGTGTACTTCAGCCCTTCTGAGCAGTGGTCTTGTTGACCGCTCAGAAGGCCAACCTGATGAATGACCACGTGATTTCGGTTGGGGTATCACCTGTTGGGGCATCAGAAGAACCGAAGTTCGGAATAGTTTGCACTTTCTGTGGGGGGGGGGGGTTTCAAGGCAGTTTCTCAAGTGTTTCTCAGGCTGCTCTTTGCATCACAGCTCTGGCTGCTTGGCCCCAGAACGCCTTTTCGTCGCAGCACTTTGTGCAGCTGCGTGGCTTTATAACGATGTCAAGCAAGTTCAGGGCCCCAGTGCATTGATATTACTATTAATATGAATGCTAATATTAATATAAACATTACTACACATGATAGTATCTTATACAATAGTAATTAATGCACATGCATGCATGTTAATCAAGGTCTCCGTTCCGTTTGCGCATGTGAGTCGGGTGTTGAGGCAGGCGCCACGAAGCGCCTCCGAGATTGCAGCCGCGGGCAGAACCATCCAAAGGAGTCGGAACCCTCTTGCGTAGAGCTGCTCGTGGATGCTGACACACACAGTATAGATGAGATCAGAGCAGGCATTGACTTGCTAAAGCTCGAAAAGGAAGTTGTGCGTACAACCGTTTTTGCAGCACCTGGCTTTGCCCGGAACAAGAAGTGGCAGAGGTTGTTTCGGGAAACAAACGTGTCGTTCCATCCTGTGCCCCGGTCATCGATGCATCGTGACGAAGCTAATGACGACGCCATCATAGCCAGGGTGCGCAAGATGTGCAACTCCAAAGCTGTCGTATGCATCGCCCTGCTGGTCTCCGACAAAGATTATGCAGGAGTGATGCAAAAAGCATTACTTTGTGACAAGGTGGTTTTGGCGATCTGTCCAGAGAAGAGGCAACCTGTAATCACGGCCTTTGAGGAGATAGGAGTTCGGGTTCTGAGTCTCCCTTCGACGGGCAGCATTTCAAAGATCAGGGCCGTTCTGAGCGAGGATGGAGACGGCTACGTGCACCTGGCAGAAGCTTATCACACCCCTCTTCCTACTGGGAAGGAAGCAGAAACTGTCCGTGAATTCTTGAACCCACTGGGTTATCTGAGAGACGAGAGCGGGTACTTGATACATCCGATGGCCAAGTTTTGGTTTCCGAACTCGCTGGGACCATTCACGGTGTTCCTGCAGAGAATTGCCATGCAAGCTGTGTCTGCATTGCGAGAGGGAGGCAGCGAGCCTGAAACGGGTTGGAAAGCGCCCGAAACAAGAATGGCTTTCTTCCTGCCAATTACGCACAGACGACCTACACAGACGAAAGCGAGCAGATTCGGAAGCTCACTGGCGTGTTCCATCTTCGAAGGGGGTGGCCCATTCCTCCTGCAAGACTCCAGAGACTTGATTGCACGTGCCCTTAACAGATTGGGCTACTTGGATTCGAGCCTGAACGGCGACATATCTGAGGCACTCTTGGTTTTCGTCAACAGGAACAAGAAGACGTTGCGCAAGCTCGATGCCTTGCCATGCCGATCTGACCAAGCCTCAACCGTGGAAGATGAACTCAGACACGTATTCCTGTCTAAAGGTTCCTCTGGTCAATGGATCGTTGCACCCGAAGACGTTGCAGTGCGGGAGCATCTTTGCAAGCAAGGATTTTTGCACGATGTGACCGCCGACCGAAACACTGTCCTTCAGGCCATGCGCAGCTATGCGAAGAGGAAGGCACTGCCCGACATGAAAACTTACAGCGGCTACTCATTCCGCATCATGGCCGGCCTGAACCGCAGCGATAACAGAAGAGGGATTGTGGAGTTTCAACTTTGATCAGCTATACAGCAGGTTAGCTGGCACCGTTCTTCGAACAGTCCTCTGGGAAATCCTGTCGCAGAAGTAGGCCAGTGATTTGGAAGTCACTTTACTGTGAGAGGCTTTTGTTGAAGTCTAAACCCTAAACCTGGAGCAGCCCTGAACTCGAAATCCGAATCCTTTAACAAGCATAGGTAGTCGAATCCATCCTGCACGGTCTCTGTGCATCCATGGCATGGGATCTTGGTGCATGACTGGTGATGTGCTCGGGCACTAGATGCGTTCTCACTGTTACCACAGCCGCTCGCATAGGGGAGATGCACAGCATCTGCTCTGTGACTGTAGCGGTGCCATGTGGCCTTCGAGCCACATCATTGTCAAGGAGCCTGCGCAACTGGTGATGTAATTCCTTGTGCGAACCCTGCGTGACAGTGGCCTTTTTCACAAGCGCAATTTCAACATGTAAGCACGTCTTCTACGTGTGGAGGTGCTGGTATGGTTGTCACCTCGGGGAAGGGCACCAGTCATTGCCGAGTGCTCCTTCCCAAGCACCGCAAGAGCAGTCCCGGAGAGTAAAATTAAGGAATTAAGGGGAGGTTTCGGGGTTTAAAAGGGTTTAGGGTTTGGGTTTAGGTAGGGTTTGAGATTTTGGGTCTGGGGGTTCGGGGTGTCGGGTTTAGGGTTTAGGGGACGGTTGTGCAAAGGCTTAGGGCTGAATTGAGAATTCATAGCCCCAAGCAGTGCTGTTACGGACTGTTGCATAGGCGTGCGGTGCTTTATTTCATAGTGAATATAGGGGCCTAAATAATTGCCAAAAACCATTTTGGGGGTTCCTTATTGTAGTTATCGTACAGTAAACCCCAAAACCCTATTCTAATTAATTAGGCCCCTACATTACCCTAAACCCTAAACCCTAAACCCTAAACCCTAAACCCTAATCCCTAAACCCTAAACCCTAAACCCTAAACCCTAAACCGTTTTGTCACCTTACTTCCAATCCAGCTGCCTGCGCACCGTGGAGCCGAAGTTGATTCAGAACTCACCCACGGTGACCAGGGTTTAGGGTTTAGGGTTTAGGGTTTAGGTGATGATGTCGTAATTTTCACTGCGAAGCCCTGCTCAGGAATTGGGAATTGGCTAGTTCAGCGACAGATGATGGGAAAGTTAGCATTGACCTTGATTGGATTTCGGTTGCAGGCCGTACCCCGAGTCCAGAAGATTAAACATGACATCCTCAATCCGCCACCCCAGACCTCGAAGCTACAGTCAGTTTCGGGTCATGCGCCACAGATGGCCTTGTTGTTGTTGCTGCTGTTGGTCCTGCGGCTTAGAGTTTAGGGTTCGAGTTGTTTGATCACTGCGAAAGGTCTTCATCCACGTCACCTCTAACCTTTAACCCTGCCGTAACCCTGAACCTTCGCACAATCCTGAATGCGAAACTCCAACCCCTCAGCATTCTGGAATTAACGACCCTAGTTATGAGACTCTAAACCCTAAGCTTAAACCCTCAGTCATGCCGATGCATGAGGGGTGAACTTGAAAGACATATCGCTTTTGCCGAGGCATCGGCGGAATCTACTTGCGGAAGTTCGTCGATGATATCGATACAGACTTACCGGATCCGTCGTCTCCTCTGTCGGATGAAGGGTTTCAATGCCTTACACTTGGTGGCTGAGTAGCTATTATCTAGCCTTTGGGGGTGTTAATGCTTGCATTATGATGTGGGCTGAGGAACGAACTTGGCGCTTGGGTAAGAGTAACCGCGTTTGGGCGAGGCTCAGGTTTGCTGTGCAGGGACTAGGCTACTCATCCAAACGTGCACATCATCAGAGGGAGCAGTCCCAGGCCCCAGGTCATCGAAATTGAATGCTGCCGAGAGCGCTGGCATATCTGATCATGCAGTTACCCGCAACAACAACGGCTCGGTCTGGCTCAGCAGTAAGTTTGACCTTCGGCGACAGGTGACCAGGCTGTATCGCTACCCCCGACGGTAAGATCGAGTATGCTGACTGCTACTGCCACCCGCACTCTCATTTCCGCATATGATGAGGTTGTTGCAGTTGTGTCCACTGCTGTTTTGATGCTGCTGCTGGTGATGCTGGTGATGATGATGATGATGATGATGATGGCGACGGTGATGATGTTGCAAATGAAGTTGCAGGTTATGATGATTATGATGATTATGGTGATGCAAACAAAGATGAAGAAGAAGATGATGATGATGACACAGATGATTATTGGTTGTCATGTGGACGATCGTCATCGTGATACTGGCGATGGTCGCTACGATTATTACAACCAGCTTCATGTCTTACGACACTCTCATGTTTTGGCAGTTTTTGCTAGAAGTAGTAGATTCTGGTTTGTACATGAATCTGATATGCACGCACAACTGCGATGTTGTCGTGGTCAGTGCTGACATCTCTGCCATGAGCCATGGGCCACACTTGCTGCGATTATTGCTTTTGCAGTCATTTGTCAGTCTCCGCGCGATCCCATGCAGCCGAGGTGATAAGCTATGCAAGCGTCTGAGCCTAGTGCCGGAGTTCCAGAATGTCAGTGATCCCGAAAACAAGCCGCCAACCTGGTTTTGCAAGGCCAAAACACCAACGGACAATGGCTGTCCTGACACCGCGTAAACCACAATCCCTGAACAAAGCCAAACCAAGCCCTAGACCCCTTAAGCCCGAGCGCCCTAATCCCGAAGTCCGCATTCCGAGGCCGGAAGATGTAGGGGTGCTGAACATGGACGGGAGACAGGACCTAGGCAGCGCGGGGTCGTACAATCCAGAAGCGAACGGGAAGCAGGGTTTAAGGTTGTGAGTTGGAGTTAAATATTCGAGGTTTTGGAGATCGGGGATCAGGGTTTGGAAATAGTTTAGAGTGTAAGATTTGGAATTTGGGTGTTTGGAGTTTAGGATGTAAGCCCTAATCACGTCGTGAAGCAAGACTCCTGCGAACAAAGCCAGAGCGAGTCGAAGCAGCGTGTAGCGCCACCCAAATCAATCGTCGCCAAATTCCCCAACCCCTAAACCAAACCCTAAATCAAAAGCCTAAACCCTAAACCCAAATGACCCAAACCCCAAACCCTAAACCCAAATTGCCAAAGCCTAAACCCTAGACCCAAACTCCCCAAACCCTAAACCCTAAACCCAAAACCTTCAATCCAAATTCCCCAAACCCTAAACCCTAAACCCACATTCCCCAAAGCCTAAACCCTAAACCCAAATTCCCCAAACCCTAAACCCAAAACTCTAAACCCCAATTCCCCAAAGCCTAAAACCATGTATAGTTTCTTCGAGTCGCCAGCTCCACGTCCCCCTGTGCCGCAGAGAGGCCTCGAGCTCGTGATCCGCGGCGAGGAGAGCGGCCGCATCCTCCCTTCGCCGGGGCCTCGCCGTGCAGGGTTTCGGGCTTCGGGTGTAGGGTTTAGCTTTTCGGGTTTAGGGTTT